GTGTGGGATTGTAACTGCAGAGTGGTTGTAAATTCATCCTGGCACTATAGAGTGATCAATGCAGAAATAAAGATGCAAATTTGTATACATTCGTATGTAATTATGCACAAACATGCCCACCCTTTTACTGAGAAGGCCTTGGAATTATCATAGCACCCCAACAGCAGGAAGACATACCTAGCACCCAAAATTACCACCCTCCACTAAGCAAGTAAAGCAAAGCAAAACAAACAGCAAAACAGAGCTTCTTGAAGGAAGGATTGATGCAAGGCTCATGATGACAAAGATGAGACTGGAATATTCTTCTGTCAGAAAGTAGAATATACTCAATTATGGTTGTGCCCATATCCTTGGACTTATAGTACCCAAACTTCTATGTGTTCACACAGAAGAGATGAACAATCCAACTCTAGCACGGGGAGAGGCAAAACTGGTTAAAATCTTAAACATATACCTAACAGTTTTACAATAGCTATAGAAGAACAATGGAGTATCATACAGCCATGAAAATGTTAGTGCTAAAAGCACAGTACCCTAAAGAGAAATTGGTGATTTGTATTTTGTCAAAACTAAGTACTTTTGTGCTTGGTAGTGAAGACAGAATCCAGAGAAGGAAAATGCACAGAATATAAAAAGATACTACACATCATATACCAGATAAAGAGCTAATGTCCAGAATGTGTAAGGAGTTGTAATTCCATACAAACAGATAAAATACAGCCCAATTAAAAACTGGGCAAAAGTCAAAAACCAAAATCAAATCAGTACATCTATCAAAATTGGTCCAGTATTTTTATAAGAAAAACAGTAAAACTCTGATGAAAACAAAGAGCCAAGTAAAAGATACTTCATGACTCTGAATGAAATCAGCATGTCAGTTCTGGGGGGTATTGTGGAGATGGCTCAACACCCCCAGAACCCACATAAATGTGGGGCAGGTATGGTGGCTCACCTGCAATCCCACAACTGGAGAAGCAGAGACAGAGGGTTCCCAGAGCAAACTGACTGAGTAGACTAGCTGAACAGGTGAGCTCTGGGTTCCTGTGAGAGAGCTGACTCAAAATAGAATGCAGAAAGAGATGGAAGAAGGCATTCAATGTCAGCCTCTGGCTTTCATATACATATATGTGCATATACACTTGCACACACATACCACATACATACAGAGTTATCAGTTCTCCCTAACTTGATCTATACATTTAATGTATTCCCAAAACCCCATTATGTTAGTTGTGCAGTTGGACAAACTAATTCTGAAATTTCTTCCACCTAATTGCCCCTTCCAGTACTAGAAGTGGTGAAAGTGTACCCTTATCTTATTCCAGATCTTAAGGGAAAGCTAGCAACCTTTCCCTGTACAGTATGATATTTATGTGAGTTTGGCGTAAATGACCTCGACAGTATTAGGATTCATTCATTCTGTGTTTAATTTGTTGAAAGATTTGTTTCTTTCAAGATGGGATACTGTATTTTATCAAATGTTTTTCTTAAATCTATTGAAATCCAGTTCTACTTAGCATTATGTTTCTGTTATCAAAAGCAGCTTGGGTAGGAAAAAGCCTATTTGGCTTATACATCCTGATCAAGATCCAGCACTGACAGAAACCAAGGTAGGACTTTAAGACAGAAACCTAGAGGCAGAACCTGACAAATGCTGCTTACTGGCTTGCTTCCCATGACTTGCTCAGTGGTTTTTCTTACATTGTCCAGGCCCATCTTCCCAGGGACAGCACCACCCATGGTGGGCCGGGTACTCCTAAATCAATTAGCAATCAAGAAAATGTCTCCCAGACGTGCTCATAGGCCATTATGATGGATGGAGACAATTCTTCAATTAGGGTTCCCTCTTCATTGATGACTCTAGTTTGTGTCAAGTTGACAAAAACTAACCAGCAATCCTTTGGTTTTCTCTATCTTCATATGTCAACATGGTGATCATATTTACATATGTTACACCACCCTTACGCCACAGGGGTAAATCCCACCTGAGCATGGTGAATGATGCTTTGAATGTGTCGTTGAGTTCTGTCAGGCAGTGGTCTTTTGAGGATTTTCACATCGTTGTGCACCATGGATACTGGCCTGTGGCTTCATTTTCTCTGTGCTGTTGTCTGGTTCAAGTAGCCAAGGTAATGATGATCTCATAGAATGAGTTCAGAAGTATTTTCTCTCCTAAAAATATTTGGAATAGTTTGAGAAGGATTAATGAGCTCTTCTTCAGGTGTTTTGTAGACTTCCACAGGGAAGCCATCAATCAGTTCCTGGCCTTTCATAGAAAGGAATGGAGTGCTGGTAATGCAATGACATGGTTAGACCCTGAAAACATTGCATCACATGAAAGAACCCAGACACAAGAAGCCACATATTGTATGAATTGATTTACATAGACAGTCCAGACAAGCAAATCCAGAGAGATGGGCATGAAATTAATGATTCACAGCAAATTAGAGTTGAGGTGGGAATGGGAAGCAACTACATAATAGTATGAGGTTTCCTCTTGGAGTGAAACATTCTAGAATAATATAGTAAGGATGCATGTACAATATTGTACATGTACCCAAACCCTACTGCCTTGTGCACTATGAAATTAATAAAATGGTGAACTTTGTTACACAAAATTGCCTCAATTAAAAAATTAAATGTTGAAATCAATTAATGAGAAAAATATTTACTCATTAAAATAAAGTTATCAAACACCGTTGAGTATAATCATCAAGGATCATTAAATATAATCTTGCTATCTATAGAAAATTATACAGAAGGAAATTTAACATCAAATTGTCTTCTTGGGAGCCAGTATCAGTAACCAGTAGTAAGCTAGCCTCAAAATAAAAATTAATGGAAAAGGATTTTGAGTCATCTAACAATACAATGGATGTCAAAAAAGGCTTACATTTAAAATGCAAACTATTAAGAGGCAATCTTGTCTAGTGGGGGATCTAAAGCCAGTGACTGGATTTGACTTGGACCAGGCTTTGATTTAATCTTTCTGTCCTTTCTTTCTGAATTTTATTTGTTTGTTTATTTATCGTGTGTGTGTGTGTGTGTGTGTGTGTGTGTGTGTGTGTGTGCGCGCGCGCGCGAATGCGCGCTATGCCTCATATAAGTGGATCAGAGGACAACTAGGGAAGTTGGTTCTCTCCTTACCACGTGGGTCCCAGGGACAGACTTCAAGACTTCAAGCTTGGCAGCAAGTATCTTTACCCCTTGAGCCATCTCTCTGGCCCCATTTCTGTGCTTTCTATAGGCTAATATTTTTTTATCTGCCTAATAGGCTTGTAGGAGGGTTAAATTAATTAATATATAGAAAATGATTTGTATATAACCTAGCATACAGTATGTTCTCAATAAATGTCCACAAATACAACTTACAATCTTACCATAACCCTTAATGTTAGTCACCTGTGAGCTGTGTTTCTTTTCTTCCCCAAACTGTGTTCAAACTCAGCCTCCCATGACCTCTTTTCCTTCAGTCATTACCACTTTCTTTGGTAGTAACATTTTGCTCTCTCTGAAGTGAACCAAATAGGGCTGGGTTAGTCTCTTCTCATTCTTATGTTTTTAAAAAAAATAATAATTTTTTATCTTTTGTGTATGAGTGTATTGCTTGCATGTATGTAAGTGCATCCCTATCATGCAACACCTGCAGAGGTCAGAAGAGGGTGTCAGATTCCCTGGAACTGGAGTTATGGATGGTTGTTAGCCACCACATGGTGCTGGGATCTGAACTCCGGTCCTTACAAAAGCAGGCAGGGCTCTTGACCCCTGAACCAACTCTCCAGCCCTCTCAGTTTTTACTTTTCGGGCGTCACACAAGCCGACCAACACAGACTTTACCTCGGCAGAAAAGGAGGGATACACAGCCCAAGTCCTTCTGTACCCAGGTCTGGTGGGCTTCCAGTCCTGGCAAAACTGATGAAACCGGTTCAGGGCACCTTGTAACCTGGGCCAGGAACACACCCGGCCCCAGCCAGAGGGCGCCAGCGCCCACCAAGCTTGGAAGCTCAGAGCAGAGTCGCTTCCAGACAATTCCTCGGTTAGCTAGGGGTCCATCTGGGCTAGGTCATCTTGCAAGAAAAGTCTCTCCCTGTCGCCCCACCGTTTATTCTCCTATCGGTTTCCTCTAGGTGTCCATGCAGGAAGATCCACGGCTTCAGGAGCCTCCCCCTCCCCACCAGGACTCCCCCAGGGTTAAGAACACCTCCACCCCCACGACCCTTCTCAATGAAGCCATGCCTTTGGGGGACAAGCTTCTGTGTCATGTCCCCAAAGGGTCCAGCTCGCTCCAGGGTTGCAGAGAAGAGGTGTGCGGCTGATCGCAGGATGGGAACCTGGGAGGTGGGGTGGGTGGTGGGACCGAAAAAGGCGCGGGGTGGGGAGGGAGGCGATCGGAGGAAGCCAGGCAGGGGCTCTAGCTTCCCGGGGTCTGATTGGAGGTTGGCCCGATGAGTCGAAGCTGGGGGCGCGCCCATCTCCGCTGACTCCAAGAGAGCCGCCGGCTCGGCCCCTCCCCGGAGCCGCTTTGTCCCGGGTGACCGCGGCGGAGGTTGCGGGAGCACCGGCAGGAGAGACAGCCCCGGGGGCCCAGCGACCCGGAGAGCGGGAGGCGGCGCGCAGCAGCGCACGGCCCCACGCCCAGGCCCGCCCGCACAGCCCCCTGCGCACCCGCTGCACCCGCTGCACCATCGCTCGCCCGGGCCAGGTGAGCAGCCGG